TTCAAACCAAAATTCCTACTGAAGAAATTTGACAGCATTTTATACAACTGTTTGAAAAGCAACTTTTAATAGATTGAATGCTTTAAGGGATAAGTGATACTGATAAAAACGTTGATGGTGTTCTTGGACATACTGTTACATTGGAGAAACATACTAAGATGTTGAGTAGGGAGTAGGATGTTTGAAAGAATACGAGACGTGTATTATCTAACGGTCATAATGATGGCAACGGACAAGTGCAAATGGAACATAACAAATTGAGTAAGATTAGAAACGCCACACAACCAGAGATCATCTCTTGGTTTAGCTTGATATTACATAAACTTAATTGCTTCATTTGCATTAATTGCTTCCCATTGCCAAATCCTATTAAGAAAGGAGTGGAAAATAAGATAAAATAGAAACCAGAACATGAAAAGGCCTTTACGGCATTAAAGAAAGTATTGACACGATCGCCAATACTACGACGTCCAGGTTACTCGGGACGTTTGCTTTTACGTTTGATGCCTCAGACACTTGAGTTGGGACTGCACATCTTCAAAACTTTGATTATTTGCGTATGACCTTCTCTGTATAGATTACGCGAGTAAGAAATTGTTGCATAACGCAAAAAACTACTCTGTTATAGCAAGGGAATGTATTGCAATGCTTTCTGGAATAAAAAAAATCAAATCTTTGTATGAAAAAGAATTTGAGCTAGACACGGATCATGCTCCTTTGACATATATTTAGGAGTGTTAAGTTGAAATTGGCCGCATCATTGACATGGGCATTGTGTCTACAGAATTAATAGTCTAGGATAGAAGCTGTGAAGGGAAAGGACAACGTGTGTCCAGATTATTTAATTATCTGACACAAAGACATTGTAGATTATTCATATTGCTAGAAAACAGTCAAGTTTGAGTAACAATAAGAATAATCATTTTGTCTGCTGTTTTTTTTTAATGACAAGTTTATATTTTCGCTACAGCGATACGTTGTTTGAGGTGTTGTGTAACTAGCATGTTTCAATGAACAGTTGTTTTAAAATATGTTGCTGCTTGGTTTTTATAAACTCACTACCTGTAAATGCGACTTTTTGAAGAAAATTTTCAAGACTTTTCGGGATGTGGAGCTTTATTTTTTAGAGAATAAAGTATTGTTGTTTAAAAGGTAGTTTGGCTGATTTATTGAATTTGGTTTAACTTAATTGTGGTTGGTTATTTTAATTGGTTTCGGGTTTGTATTTGTTTATTGATTTTTTTTTGTCGTTGAGTTGTTTTTATTCATAAGATACATTGGTTTATTGTGAAATCGTTAGTTTGAGCAATCAGAAATGCACACAGTATCACTTTACGAAAGAAATACTGGTTTCTTGTTTATTCCAAAGGTATTACATATAGACAACATACTGGAATGAGCGAGCTCTATACTTTTTCCGATAAAATACGAACTATTAAAATAGTTATGGTAGGAAAAAATTTCTGGGCCTTCTTTTGTATTTGTTTTCTGTCCCACGTAGACCTCTTCATGGTTGACTTTGTTCGAAGGAATTCGTCGTAGAGTGCTTTCTCAAACTAAAGCATCTGTTAAATGAAACGGAAAACTTCTTACGACAGAATGTATTATATAATTTCACACAGATTAATTAAAAATAAATCCCGGACATCTTTACTTTCTTTAAGCATCTGTTGCATGGAACGGACAACGTCTTTTAACAGAATGTTCGATATTATTCCAGATAGATAAATCAAAAAATGCAGGCAGGACATCTTTGCTTTCTTTAAATTTCTTTAATAAATCACACACATTTTAACCGAAGGATATGACTATAAAAACGTCTTCAGAATGATCATTAATAACAGGGTGGTAATACGTGTTATAAAAACATTTCATTTTTTCCAATGATACTGCTGCAGCTTAGTTTAAACATACAATGTTTCTGTTTTGATAAAAGGTTTGGTGCTTATCTGAACAACTCACTAGTGCTTTTTTTCTTTGAAAGAGACGGTATTGGAATCATATAAAATATCTGGCGTAGCCCAAATCGTGGTTGAATCAATGATTTCCGATGATCTTCTAGCTATATAAATATTATACATGTATATAATATATACATATAAATCCTGAACGATACTTATCGATATCGCCAAATTATAAACAAAAATACATACGTTTTCAAAATTTCGCCTTTCGCTGTTCTAGCCTCTATCGTATACTCGAAAGAGATTTTATCTACATTAAGATTCAATCAGATTTGCCTTAAACTAATGTATTTCTAGTCCCGTTATGTCATAAACATCTGTGGGACCCTTAAATTTAAATGACATTTTGTTATCTTTAATTTGATTAATTTGAAAGATATCATCATAAGATATTTTTTCATCATTTTCTAATGCTTTTTTTAAACATTGGAATACAGTGTAACTATTTCATATGTTACCTTGTTATTATCAAGAAAAACAAGCAAAACTGTATTTCTTTGAATGTATGTTATTACGACGGAGTGGAATATTATAGTATATAAATGCAAAAGTATAAGCTATACCAAGAAAGATTCCCCGAATCGGATAATATGAAAACGTAAATTCATATGTAATAAATATAAGCATATTTCACATTTACAGAACATTACAAATTAAACATGACTTTATTTTTGTACTTGAGAGCATTGCAGCTCATCCATAGCTATGATTATGCATAATTATGTTAAGTCAAACAATAAATATAATATATTTACTATTGACAGAAACTACAGCTGTACATATGACAAAAGAAGGTAAAGAAAATACATACGTATCATTTATATATAACGCAAGTTTGATTACTAAGTCAAATGTTGTATATCTTTTAAAAAAATAGCGGTGCTTTATAATGGCGAAGTTTTTAAATAAACAGTGTCTTGAATTAGCGCAATCGGCCCTTATCGCCAATATAGCCACACTTTAACCCCCTGTCCCCCCCCCCCCCAAATCCCTACTTGCACAGAAAGTATTATGTCATTGTTTCATTGAAGTATCATTCTTTAAATAGATATACTGATATTATTTCCCTACATAAAACTTATCAATCCTATGTCTAAATAAGATATGCAAATAACAGGCTACTATTGCACTTAACAAAAGTGTTGTTTTTTTGTTTTGTTTTTTCATCACTCGAATTTAACTAATATTCTATCTACATCAGATTCACTTCCACATTAGATAATCATATTTACTATAGAATTAAAAACATGTACACAAACCTATCAATTTAATGCACAAAGATAGATGTTAAACTTTCAATTTGTTTTACGTCTCAGATAATAGCAAAACCAACAATTTAACGTCAATAAGGATAAGTCATTTGACATGTACAATTTAACTCCCCGATATGCAATATCGATTTGTATTACTCATTAGAATAAATGATTTATTGTTTAATATTTGCTTTGGTGATAAATGAAGTGTTAATATTGCAAGAGTCCGTGTTTTGTTTAAAGACTATAAGCGTCAGTATTGCATGCTTTAAAATAAAAAAAACTTGTTTATTTATATTTTTAAGCTCAATTAAAACCGTATTTTATATGCTTCTTATTGAAAATATGACTTCACGTGCAAGTATATTTCCAACAACATCAACAACAAAAATATAATAATAATAATAATAATAATAATAATAATAATAATAATAATAATAAAAAAACAACAACATTTTTCGCCTGGACTCATGTTTGAAATTATGCTACATAATTATATAAAAATAGTTATCAATTAAATGTGAAGATGTGTAATTTATATCAAGTTCCCGGGTCTTTTGGCACATTTTAAACCTTATTTTGCTGGTACATACACGTGTACAATATTGCACGAGTTCCTACTGACAAGGCAAAAAAGAAATTTATTTTTGTTAACTCTTTCTTGAGTAATTCTTTAAAAGCCACATTAAAAGTGTAAATGTTCCAATAAGTCTACGTTTTAAAATAATAAAGTAATGTTTAAACAATTATCTCCGCAGGCAGTATCAACATAACTGAACTATTTGTCTGATTGGCGAACTTTATTTTGAAACATGTCAACACTTGATAGACAGTGGCGATCGAATCGATCCCAGAACCTACTTTATTTGATTTTTTAAAGTTTTATTGGTCCAGCATACAGTAATATTCACATGCTTGTTTCGTTTTCTGACGACGTAGATGACCATACAAAAAGCAGATATTATGAAAACGTACAAGCCTTTCTTTTAATACTGTATAGGAACAATTATCCCGTTTGATAATAGCTTTTCTTACCTTCTATATTTTGTCACACAAAGCTTATGTTAACTACTAAAAGTTCAAAAAATATCTCACGCTTAAAAATGTCCATTATTCTCATTAGTGTATTTACTTCTTTTTAATTAGGCTAAAAATCAATATGCTTTCTATTGCTGTGCGAAGATGTACTCAGATTTAACTATTCATTTCTATGCGTCTAAAATTACCTGTATTTACTAATATTTATCTATAAATTCTTTTTTTTCCATACAATAGAATAGTTTTTGAACTACAATCCGATTACAAAAATAACTCCTTTCATTTCAATAGAAGCGTTTTTGAAAACTGATAGAACTAAATATAGTAAGACATTTTGTCCGTAACCTTTAAATTGTAAATCCCCAATAGATATTTTGAAAGTTAGAGGTTGCAACATATCAACGGTAGGCACTACTTTGAGAAATTATTAACGGTAGTGTGGACTTGTTATGATAAACATTTCATGGACTTTGTCCAAATTGTTTGACAAATAATTATATTTTCAACATGATATTGAATAAAAGGCATTAGAACTTCAACAAAGAAGCACGGATACAAACATATTTTTTAGTTGGTATTATAAATATTTTAACAATATTTGTACTGTCAGTTTTAAAAGGCTATTATTAGCAACACTCCTATTCGGACAGGATGAGATATGTTCGTGTTGTTGTAATTATTTTACTTTTGTTATCATCAGTAAGAATATCATATTGTGCTTCATACAACAATTCAGTCGACCTGATGCGCGATGTACTGGACGGCTATGACGTCTGACGCAAAGTTTTTCAGCTTATGATCTTCTTATAATCGGACGGAGCGATCAAATCATTACCTGGAATCCAAAGGACTATGGAATGGCATACTCGACATTATTTAGGTTATCCGACGTATGGTATCCGAAACTGGTCCTGACAAATCCGTACACAAAGCTTCCTGACCTTGGAGATGACTGGATGACAATAAGGATATATAACTCCGAGCATACAACATTTGTACCTGGAGCCGTTTTTGACACTTCTTGCAATGTTGACGTCACATTTTACCCTTTTGATACGCAGGTTAGTTATAAATTTATATAATTTAATTTTTCCCATAGAAAAAACATAAATTACATAAATAATTACAAAAAAAACGTTGCATATAATATAAGTAACACTAACAAAAGAGTTTCGCTTTCACTGTTCAGATATAATGGTGATGCAATTGTGTCTTTTATCTTACAGACATGTAAGCTGTCTTTTAACGTATGGGGCTACGTAGGAACAGAAGTATACCTACATCCTAACGTTGATGAAGCACTTTTGGATTATTACTCAGAGAATGGCGAATGGCAGTTGGATTCTACAAGGGTAGAAAGAGTAGGCGGTGGCCAGGTCACGTCCGATTCGTTAAAAATCATATTCAAGATCAAACGTAAACCAATGTTTATAATTGTAAACGTAGTTCTACCAATAGTATTCATGGCAATGATAAATATTGTGGTGTTCGTATTACCAGCTGAATCCGTAGAGAGAGTTTCGTATTCCGTTACAGTGTTACTTGCTCTAGCTCTTTTCATGACTCTTGTTGAAGATAATCTTCCCAAGACGTCAGAACCGATGCCGATCCTAAGCTACTATTTGATGATTCTTTTGATCTTGAGCACGCTCATGACCGTGACAACTATACTGAATCTGAGTATTTATTTCAAGAAAGCCCAGGTACCCGGTTGCCTAAAAAGTATATTCAGATTCGTGTACTGTTTCCGCTGTAGGTTCGGACGAAAGACTGATAAAAATAACAAGGTTTATCCGATAGACAATACGAATAAGAGGAAAATTCCAGTCGTTACTACCATCAATTTGGATATAGAGGAACCAGACATAACATGGCAGGACATCAGTACATGCATTGATTGGATTGCAATGGCATTCTTCTTTTTTGGGACCATTGTTACAAATGCAATTTTCCTATCGACAATGGCAAAAAATAAAGATAGCACTTTGAATAGCTAATGCTTGATAGTATTATTCACTCTGTATGCACCAGTGATCAGATGGGCCAAGTTGTACTGGTACGAAATATTGTTCTTTTACAAATGTTTGTATTTTTTTTACTTGTGTTTCAACTTTGTATAAATCATTTGTTTTGATATGATTAATTTTATTCTATACTTTCTATTTCAATATTAATGCTGTCACTGGTTATATATATTCATGTGAATATTGTTCTTTAGTTATTTATATAGTTCATTGTAATAACATAATCATGCTCTTCTCATTGTAATAAATGTCACCGCCTTGCATGTTATATATGTGGGTAAAGAACATTTAAATATGTTCATATGCTCAATAAAATATTGAAATTGAAATTAATAAAAATTGTACGCTTGTGTTGCATCGAGACGCTGACAGATGGAAATGTTACAAAGCTTTCTAAAATGGCTATTTGATGGATTTATTGAACTTTATATATCTTTAAACTAGTAAGCTTGTACAGATACTGTCAAAATAAGTTAATGCACATTGCTTGATCTATTTTTTGTACGTTATACAAGCGTTTGAAACAATGAAATTGATACTGTGTTTCATTGATATTGTTATATTCTTCCTATCTTTTTACAGTCTAGTAAGTTTGAGTTAATTGTATTTTATTCAGTTTCAAATCATAGTTCATGTATTATGTCAGCATAATAGTATAATATAATAATGATATGAATACACGATAACGATTAAAGATATTACATTGAAAGAATTATTTAAATAATTTTACAAGATACAAAAGTAGTTGGAAGCTTAGGTATTAAATTTAAATTTCAGAAAGACGTTTTGTCATTTTCTATCAAGAACAGGATGACATTATGTTTACAACTGCTTGGTGTTTATATACATTGGACAATACGATAACTGTTTATCGTCGTAATATCTTTGCTGTGATATTTCATTGGTAAAGTCAGAGACTTATATAACAGAAGGATAAGAAGTTCTAAAATTGAAATACATAACCAAATATATTTTCATTTATAACTGAGAACATTTTACTTCTTTTTTTTATTTGCAACTTGTTTTTTACTTTGAATACCATAACTTATTATAGAAAACATGGCAGCGTGCTTATAGGTAAAATATCTTATGTTACACATGGTCTCGAAAAATCTCGCGAAAATGTGAAATAATAAATTTCTAATTAAACGTATTCAAAGTGAATGACGTCATAACTTCCTTGCCATGTAAAAATAGGTTGTGGTGAATCAGATACATATCTGATAAATATTCATGTCTATTGTTACATATTTAATATAAAAAGTTTGTCTTTTAATATGATGAATGCTGGCTTGTTTTTGTTTTGCATGTTTAAAAAATCTTTATTTATTTTTATACATAGCAAAGCAATGCCATACACTTGGGATTTGGAGAGTCAAATGCTTTAAAATCCAAATATAAAATATTTGTCAATCCCAGCACTTAAAATTATCATATATATCAATAAAACTTCATATATACGCTGTTTCGGAAGAAAAAAATATATTACAACGTCTAAAATAATAAAGAGGATAAAAATGTTTGCTGGAAAATATCCGCTCACATACCCTCACATGCCATAGAAATAACCTTGCTTTTATTCAATTTCAACTATTTTCACATTTTCCGTTGACGCAGAACATATTACGGAGCGCTTATCGGACCTTAAAATACAAATGCTGATAAAAAGGTGTATTAACGTGTGATCAAATGCAAATAACAGCTCAGCCAACTGTCCTACAATTAATAAAAAGTTTCATAAGCCCTACATTGGGCAACATCATTATTCTCAAATCCATTTGTGGGTCAAAGCACACCAACGGCGGTCTTCATCTTGATAAAGTCTTTTTCAAAATATGTGTACTGACGAAACAAAAAAGTACACTAAAACAAAAATATATAAATTTAAAGTAAAAGCAATCCTGACAACATTGACATTTGAGGTATATCTACCTCTTCATATAATGTATTCTTTATTTTTGAACATCAATAAATTTTAAACGACAATATAGATGAATTCATAAGGATACGATTAAACATCAAAATTTGATAAACACATACACTGACATATGTAATGCCAATAAAACTGAAAATGGCCATGGTTTTCTTGCTATGAAATCAATATTTGTCTCAAACGATAGTCAAAAAAATATGACTTTTGTTTGGAATACAAACTTTCAAATAAAAACATTTCTGGTTACATGGTTTATTAAACTGTAATTGTCTTAGCATTTTCAAATTGTATCCAATACAAAAACTTAGTTTAGTTTAATCATATTTCATTGTAAATAAACAAATACGTACAATTTTCACAATAATACAGAATTATTGGATAAATTTATGTAAATATAAAGGGTTAGGCCATAAATTAGAACAACATTATCGAGCCCTCCTCCACCCTGAAAAGCTGACTGTAATGTTATTTAAACATAGATGTGAAAAAGAAATATGTAAAGAAGACGTAATATATCTAAATCTGAGAATAGACATAATAATTATAGAACAAAAACATAAAGGTTAATTATACATTGACTGATTACCACTCAGTATATACCCTACAGAACAATATTCTTTGAGTGACAAAACGTTTGGATTATAGCTGTAAATGTTGCTACATCCAGAGGTTCTAGGAAGGAAATTTGGCATACATCATAGATAACATGAAATATAAATCTGAACACAACTGAAGTAACTGAATAATTACAACTTGTTTAAGTTAAAACTGTACGATAATGATTTTTATACAAATCTTAAATCATCAAGCAATATATGTAATAGAACTATTGGTATCAAGTTCTTCATTGGTATTATCCTACTGTTATATATTATTTTGATTCTGATATAAAACTTTCAAATATGTAGGTATTCAAGTTTTAAAGCTAAAATGTTTAAAACACCAACACATGCAATAAAACATTAACAGGCATAAAGATATTGAGAAGAATTGTGTTGATAAAACTAACAAGGCAAAAGCTCACATTTGTAAACATGTAGATAGTTTGTATAATCACCAAATATAAGTCTACATCTTTCTCTGTCAAACGCGAGAGACATCAAAGATCTAGAATAATCCGAAAAGTTCCTAACTGTTTCGCTCTCATTTTTACCATTATAATCAAGCTGATAAACTTTGTCGTTATCACGACCGCCTAATAGAAGAACTATTCCGTTATTAGCAACACATACATCAGGGTCATATAACCCGTCTAGCTGATAAGTGGATATATGATTTCCATTAGAATCAATTGTAGTTAGAGCTTTATCTGTACAAATGTAGAGCCGCTCACCATTGTCACTTATCGCAATTGGGTATTTATAGAATTGGTCCCTACCACCATGTTGATAGAGAATGCGTTTTTTATCACATCTTTTGTCATATGTGTATATTGTACTTTTACTGGCTACATAGAGAGTGTCACCGTGACAAGCTAAACCGAAACATTCATGACTTAGAGGCACTTCATTTCTTAGCTCTATCTCACCTGACACTTTCACGTATTGGATTACATTTCCATGTAAAGCAATGATAGATAAATTATTCCCTATGTAACATACGGAAAATGGTCGGTTAGGCAGTTTACAACAACTGACTATTTTGAATTTCTTGTTCAATTTCTTCAATTTTTTATTTCTGTTATCAGCAAGGAGAATTTCACTATTAGGAAGCATGCTAATACCGATTATGTAACAGTCATTTTGATCGTTATCATTCTTTCCAAAAATATTTCTTATTTTCATGTTATAACTTTCTGGTTTATCTTTTATGTCAAGCTTTCGTTTCTCGTAAAACTTTTCCGAGTTCACTTGTTTTATGTCAGGACATGAGCTGTAACAATATAAATGAAAATTGTTATTGCATATAGTGTAAAACTAACTTTGAATTCTATTTTACTCTTCATATGCTCATTTTCATGATTAAACTTCAAATTAACCAAATGGTATTTATAATTATCATCCTTAATTTTCTTCTCAATTTGAATGCAAAAAGGGCAAGGCAAATACGGTCAATAAATGAACGTCGGTTCCATATGTTTAATTCTTTGCAGATAAATGTTCTACTTGACTTTCAACATCTTTTAACTTTCTCAATGTTGATATTTTGTTTTGTTTTCGTCAATATATATATATATATATATATCTCTGTCATTTAAACATTTTATTCATCAAATATCAAATTTTCCACTTTTGCTTAAAATATTAGATAAAAATCTGATTACCCATGCTTTGAATCCCTGCATGCGGTGCAGAAAAACGAGTCATGATGAGGACAAAACAACGTGCATAGTGTATTTTCATGGTTTGTGCAATTCATATTCCTGGGCAAGGCACTAAACTCTGAGAATACATTTGTTTATGCTTTAAAAAATACCGTCATTTACCATGTTGCATTTTTTGATCTGGGTGGGGCAGAAACCGATTCAAAAGTCGGTCCAGTTTTATTTTTTCCCTTCATGTTAAAAAACTATGTCGCTATGTTAATGGAATAAAGTGTAGTCTGATCATTTGGGCAATAACACATTATTTTCTAGGGTAAAAAGTAGTAATTTCTTCACTTAGTGAAACCGCATGTTTGGAAAATCAGAAATTTACGCCCTAGGCCACCCATCCCCAAAAAGAAAATATTTGCAAGTGTTACCATAGCAACTTTTAGAATTTTGCTTGGCGGGTTTTATCTTTTTTATTTAT